TGACACTCGAATACCCAAATTTCGAACCAATGACATGCGTCGCCGGTAAGCTGGCTGTGTTCTACGTGGGACTCCTGCTAGGTTATTTAATGCTGTTCCGATGTTCCCGTGTCCTCATTACAGCCCTTAATTCACTGAGATCTGTGCATGTTGCTGTGCAATAACTGTAAGAAAAGCCACCAAACACATTTGTTCAAGTTCCTGTTTTTTTTTTTACTTGGCAACATTTCTATGTTAAATCACTGCGTAGTTTATTGGTGCGTAGTCTAGAGAAGTTTGGCTTTCTTTTTTGTAGAAGACACCCTGCCAGAAGCACTCAGCTTCTTACAAACATCTCTCGTAAAAAAGTGCATTCTCAAAACAACGTATGAGTGTACAATCTCCGATGTCAGGATGTCCTTATGAACTGAACAACCAACGCTTGGAACATCGCAGTCTTTGATGACATCCAGCGCATCCCAAAACATGTCGGCGCACAGATGGTTTTCTCCTAGCACGAGAGACAGTTTTTCTTCGACGCGTTTCAACATTGTGTAAAGTTCTGTAGAGGGATGCTTGAGGCTTCCGTTCCTGAATTCTCTTGCCAATGTCAGTAGTGAAGCGGGGAATTTAGTGTTTGTTGACTGGATGCTGCTTATGCAAGCAGCGCAGTTGACGTGCTTCAGAAAAGAATGTACAATGTAGCCGCAGAGGTAATATACGACGCACTCCTGTACTGCTGGCAAAGCATATCCGTGGTCCGGAAGCGGTGTCGGTCCCGAGTGGGATGCTGAACTTATTCCAGGCAAGCAAACCTCGGAAATCTTTGCGCTGATTGTCTCACGCAACTTTTCATACGTTGCCAGCTGCTGCTTCTTCCCTTGCTTCATCGTCTCTTGCACTGTGGCTAGTATTAAGGTTGGCTCCTCTTGGACATTGCCTGCAATCGAAGCCTTGACAGGTGTGTACAGGCTCAGCAACCTGTAGATATGGGAAAAGCTCAGGATCGTCGGATGGTCTTCGTCACCTCCAAAGCTCCTGGTGATTCCGAAGAACCTCTGTAATGGTAGTAATAAAGCCGTACGTCAGTTCACCGTATGTATCTCTTTCAGAAGTCAAAGTACGCATGGCGTATGGAATGCATAAAGAGGATTTATAGAGTGCAAGTCTCAGGCGGGAATTGCACATCTCACATAGAGATATGACGACTGTTTAAAACCACGCTATGCTTCCTCATAACCGTTTTGTTTATTTTCCATGCAATGAAGTAAGTGCGCAGTTTTATGGAATTATGCTAATCTCACCTCCAAGGGGTCTTGATTAAGCTTGCCTGTGAGCACGTAGCGTGCACCTTTAGCAAGGAGGTCATTTGTTAGTTCCAAGATAGATGACAAAGTCACCCTTAGAGACTCCATTGTTACTTGAGATGCGAACATGGCTGTTCCTTTCTCAACGTGGTTTCTCTCTGTCAAGTCCAAGATAATCATGAAATCTTGGATGATCTAGAAAAGGGAAAAGTTTATGTTAGACATTACTTTTTTGTGCAAGCTAGCTCTTACATGCAAACGTCGACGCCTATAAAAAAAGGGACCTTTGAAGAAAGGCATAAAGTTATTTTTAACCTGATTTTTTAATGAAACATGTGTGCCACTGAATGAAAATGGAAGCTGGTAATACTTGAAATCACGCTTGCGGCGTGTCGCCTTCTCATCGACGTTTATTTCAGTTATCTGGAAGGAGAAGTTCTAAGTTCCAAGACATTTATTCGTCGTCTTTCTTTCAATAATACCTTCCTTCAATTACAAAATAAATGTCTACTTAAACTAGGCTTTTGTTGGTGTAAATGTTTGTCGGCGTTTTGTATTTTATTTATATGCCCAGTGCCTCAGTTCTTGATTAACATTACCTATTGCGAATGTTCTTCAAAAGTAGCACATTTTATCGCCCTTGCCTTAATTTCCTTGGATGTGCTCCTTATCCCAAAACGAGGAAGCTTGATGTTCAGGGCATCAAAAAGGTCATTTATGATGCGGGTAAACGCGGCTGTCCCCTCGCAGTCTTCCAGGCCATCTTGCTTGAGTCTCCGGTACACATCAAGGCCGATAGCCGTACTTCGGCTGAGCAGCTAGGGGACAGAAAACGTATAGGGGCATTTTATTAATCGCAAAAAGACTTAAGGAGAACACTTCACAGTACCAGTTAAGTTTGTGTTTCACATGTGAAGAATTTGCCTAAATAATCAGGTAAGCTATAAGTTCTTTCAAAAGCAGCTTTTCGTAATCTTACCTGTACTGCGAGCTTCACACTCATTTTTCTCATGTTGTCAGGGCAGACGTGTTCAGCGGTAAGCTTCGGAACAATGCGGAGTTGCTCTTTGCCGTCTACTTCTTGCAAAACTCGGTAGTGGTCATAGTTTATGCGATGTTCACCAATCTATGAGCAAGAAGAAGAGAGGGAAAAAAAAGTCCGTCAGTCGTATGTAGTGCTGCGAAGAAAATGTATTTTGATTGGCACCGCGACACTATTTATTGCGATATTGTACTGTACGTGGTACTTACCATGCCATATTTGTGTCGAAGAAGATGGTTTCTAATGCATTTGACAATGTGGGGTACATCGCAAAGGAAGTAGAGGCTTTGATTTGGCTCGCATGGGTGCTGAACTTTGTGGTTTGCTGTGTGAAGCTTTCCTGATATGCCAAAGTTGGACCACATTGCTTTGTTCGTGCTGGCGCCATCACTGATTACTGCGACGACTATGGCGTTGTGTTTGCGTAGCTGCACGATTGCATCAAGAACTATTTTGGCGAGCACGTGTCCGGGGGCTGCGTTTTTTGTTGCAAAACTTGCAATCGGTTGAACCCATGAGTGGAATAGAGGCACAAACATTGCAACCAATGCATGATCAGCAGTAGCTGCTGAAACTTCACCGTCTCCGTAATTTACGAACCCATCAATCTTGTATGTTTGACGGTTGAAAGCTACGGCTTGGCGTACCTTCATTTCATCTATTACTAGTGTGCCGTAACACTGGACTCCTTTCATAGTCTTCATGAAAGCCCCTATGCTGGAAAGGGAGAGCTTATTAAAGCCAAACTCACAAGGCATTCCTCTTATTATTTGTCGGAGCCTAGTCGAAGTTGGAAGAGGGAGGATTTTCATTCTTGACATCAAGCGGTACACACGTGGGCTTGAAATCTTCAAGAGAAGGCAACTCAGCAGCCACCCACAGTCATACCGCACACCTCTTGAAGATTTCGCTTTCATCGACTGCAGTGCTGTCCGAAATGCAAGTTGCTGCAGTGGTGGAAGTTCAGCTAAAACCTCGCTCAACAGTGCATTGCTTGGATCTGATGACAACTTTTTTTTCAAGCTTAGCAGGTCCCTCTTGTATTTCTCCCGCAGCACTGTTGCTCTTATAGTCTTCTTTCTTAAATTTCTCAACAGCGCAGATGGCAAAGGCACGTACTTGCTCTTTCTTGAACGTCGTTTCTGCCTGCACTGCAAGTTCTTTTTTGCTTTCCTGCACTGAACGCATAAGGCTTTCGCCGACAGCACTGCACATCGCTTGCTTCTCCATGTTCTCCCAGACCTTTCAGCCGTCTTAGAAGTTGATATTAAAGGACATAAACGAGAATCAAAACCATTGCAGATACCCAGGCTCTCAATGAGATGAAGAAAGGGCGCTGCGTCTTTCAAGGTGGTAAAATTGAGCTTGTCACTGTTAATAAAGGTGTAAGACGATTCCGGCACAAGTTTCCCTTTAGCGCTGACAACAACGGTCGAGTTTTTGTTTATAACGACAGCTCTTTCAATAAAAACTACGCCACCAATTTCTTGAAGTTTGTAAAAAACAACACGCTCATCCGTGTGTTGCACACACCATGCTCCATACACGGGCAAGTCTTCTATGCCACCAAACCAATGTTCACCTGTGGAGCTTTCTTTCATGATGACTTCCATGCTTTCAGCATTTGAGGCAGCCCTGTTTTCGTGTTCAAGCATTTCAGTGCACGTCTCACTTTCACTCTGAAGAACTGGGGTAATGTCATCTTCGGCCACTAGCACGCTTGCTGCATTTGTGCCAACATTTTCTACACAAAGCTTCAAATCAAGCTCAGCGCAATTAGCAAAATGCCGCGGTACCGCACCTTTCTTCAGTTCCCAGCGTCCTCGCGGAATCGAGACTGTTTCGCCATTCACAACATGCTGGAAGGAGGTGCAAATGTCCGCTTCATCAAAGTGACGATCACATATGTATGATCTTTGAGTAACTTCGAAGTTTGCACGGCCTGCCGCATTGTTCCACTCCCTCAGCACATTGGGGTCTTTCGGTGGCTTGAAAAAGTGTCGCTGCACGAAGGGCACTTCATTTGACGTTGCCGATGAATATCCACTTCGACAGCCTGGCACAGCACACCTCGGCATGCCGACCGTTCTCCCGAAGGGAGCAAAATTCAACCGCGAACAATTGCTTGCTCAGAGTCACCGTCCGCTTTCTCTCCAGAAAGCAGAACAGCGTAAACATTATCGTCTGCTCTGTCATGGTTGAAATTTAATGCATAAGGTCTGTTACGAAACAACGAGCCAGCCTTTTTTTTATATTTAGGTTACTTAACGTTACTTAATTTAGGTTACTTAACCATTATTACCAGCAGGGAAAAAATCGTCTGCAAGCGCAGGCCCTGCTAGCCGCGTCGCTGCTCCGTCTGCTCCGCGCGATGCCGGCTGCGCGGCGGAGAGGTCACGTGACGTGGTCGCAAAGCGATGCCAGCGACACCTGGAATGGGCGACGATTTGCGGCCGCCTCCTCGCGCGAGTTTTCCAACTGTCCTCATCCAGTAACGTTGACCTGTACTTCTTGACTGTATTATGTGCATTAGTAGGTCGTGTGCATTGCCTCCCAATAAGGTCCCTAGGGGAGTGGTATGTAGCGACACCTATTTGTGTTTTCAAACATTTTTGTTTAGTGTTTTTTTTTAGCGCGGGTAAGTCAGCCAATCACAAAGCAGCAAACAGACGTGCTTCTCGCATCCCGTTGCTTACCAACGACTCCACCAACTTCGCTTGCCTCACTGCGTGAACTTGCTCGACTCAGTCCGAGGCGATTGTGCATGTTTTGTGGAAGAGCGGTGACCAATCTGAAAACGGCACCAACAAGCGCGTAGGTTTCCTACGCCATCACTTTTCGGTGCTGTTGAACCAGCGCTGCAAAGACATCGTTGGCGAGAAAATGACAAGCTCGACTCAGCGACACATCAAACCATCCTTGGACGATTTACCCAAACGGTTCGTGGTGGCCATGAAGACTTTATTCGATATTATGGACGATCAGAAGACCGGTTACATCAGTCTTAAGGATATAGAGGCACGGTGGGCAAGCGGTCGCGACGACGGTGTCTCGTCGGTCGTTCCCAACGGCGTTATCGAGTCCCTGCAGAAGGTTACACCGCCCAATGGTCAGCTGACGTTCGAGCGCTTTTGCGCCGGCCTAAAGATCTGTTTGCTTCGTCATCGGGTGTCCAACCACCGGCAGCAGGGCGTTCTGCAGAGACATCGGGGTGTCGTGCCGCCCACACCGCCGCAGCCTCTAGGTCAGGTCGGCGAACCAAGGGGTCGGCCTTCGTCCGTGCCGCTGCCTGACCGTGTCGAAAGGTCAAGCGGGCAAGGAAACGGCCTTTCGAAGCCCTCGGCCCGGGTTTACAGTGGCTCGGACCGGTCCCTTAATAGGTTGTCGGCAGTTCGGCCGCCATCCAACACGGCGACGGTACGGCCCAGCGTTGTGTCCACGCAGCAGAGGTCCGTTAGTGTGCCGCACCTCCAGAACGCCGCGGCAGGCATCGAGCAGTCTAGGATGACGGGTGATCCGCGGCGGGCTCCCGCGAACGCGCGCGAGTTGCCGAGCAAGCTGAGGGGTTACCGCAGTGACAACAGGCTGCACCACGGAACTCCCCAGCAAGCGTCGACGGAGCCGTCGGGCATACTGCGGTTCAGCCGGGTGCGCAGCAAGACTCCCGACCCGAGTTCCGAGTTGGCCAAGAGTCAGCCCACTCACAGGCGCAATCTGGATGTGCAGAAGGAGAACAAAAACCCCGAGCAGGGCGTTGAAGACAGTGCGAGTATGTGCTCGTTCCTAGTCTAAGTAAAGGGAAAGGGGACAGTCTAATCACTCGCTGCGATGTCTATCTGCAGGCTCGAGCAAAACGAAAAGTGTTCTGCCAGCTGCGCCAGAGCGCAAGTTTCCCAAGAAGAAAGAGCCGCGTAGGCACACACTCGGTCACGGCATAGAGTATAACATGGTAATGACATCTGTTGATTCCTCTGGTGCGTGGACGCCTCAGGGCTGCGATTCATAAGTGTCTTTAGCTGTGAGGCAGTTTGAGATTACTTAAGTTATTTAATTTCAATGCGCACCTGTTTTTTTTTTTCTTCTAGGAAAAAATATGTTTTGAAATCGCCTGACCATTGAATTTGCATGAAAAATAAATTGAACCCGTATCTGCCCATCGTCATCTCGATTGCTTGCAGATGACAGCACGGAACCGATTGCAAATCGGTTTCGTGCTGTCATTCGGCGTTGCGCTACAGCTACCAGAGCATTCTGTGATCTCTCAGTCTTGTTAGCTCAGAATGGTTGCAGCAGCCACAAAGACGCGTCATGTCCGCCACAAAAATAGCTTTGAGTGTAAAGTAATTCTGCATGCGGAAGCGAGCGGCGACAGTAATTCAGCGTGTCATTTTGGCACGCTGTTCAATATTTTACCTCTTTTTTTGTAGTTATGAAAATCGGGTGCACGTAGGAATTGGGTAAATACACTATAGTACGCAGAGACAGCATTCATTGTGTATAATATGTCATTTTCATCCCTTAACGTGAGTACCTGAAAGGGTAGCATATGATGCATGCACAGTGGCAACAAACGCTGATGCAAAGCTTTGCATCAGCATTTGTCACCACTGTGCATGCATCATATGCCATACTTTGGGGTACCTACATTTAGTCGCGAAAATAAAATGTCATCTCCAACAAACGCTGTCTCTGCTTGCTCTCTTGAACTGACTAATGTTGACAGTTATGCCTTCAGATTTTCAAGTATCATTGGCAGTTGTGATGCCACTGAGGTGCATGACAAGATTTCTTTGGTTCCTGCAGCTGCGGCGTATGAAGCAACTAGAGCATGAAAAGGATGCACTCCAACAAGGTCTGCAGGCCATAGAGCGAGCTAGGGAGTGGTACCAGCAGCGGATCAGTGCTGTTCAAGAAAAAATGCAGCAGGCTGGGAAGTGTCACACTACACCAGTAAGCAACATAGCATTCTTGGAACACTGATTACTAGAGACCGGATTATAGGCAAATGCCTCTTTTGTTCCTTGCATTCCTATCATGCCATTTTGCTATATGAGCATAAATTAGAGGTTAAGAAGGGCTTTTATGCTGTTTTTATAGTGCCTCTAAATGCCTATTTTGGGTGTTTGTTCCTAAATGCCTATAAATGCTTATTTTCTAATTGAGCGTGTATATGAGCACTATTCAAGCCCAAATTTTGTTTTCGAGCATGGTGTTAAACTGTTATTCATGTAAAGAAGGCAGCATTGATATTTCCAAACACTATAAGGTTCAGCGAAGACAAAGCTGACATGCTGCGAGCGATTGGAGGAGGACCATGAGGAGTTCAAAAGACACTATTTCTGCTGCCCTAAGTGGAAGAATGATCCCGGCTGTGGCGGCTGCATTTCCGATGGAGGCGGAAATGTTGTAGGCCCGTGTACTCAGATTTGAGTGCACGTTAAAGAACCCCAGGTGGTCAAAATTTCCGGAGCCCTCCACTACGGCGTCTCTCATAATCAAATGGTGGTTTTGGGACGTTAAACCCCACATATCAATCAATCAATCAAGTGGAAGAATGTCTCAGCGTCTGCAGGGGAAGGAGGAGAGAGAATTAAAGATGAAGTAAGAAAATAAAAATGACGTCTATGGCCGAGGACGTGGTGACCACCTTCTACAAATAGCTGTCCAGTGCCCTGAATGAACTGAAGAACCCCCCTAAAAACCTGGGTGTTGAGGTGGGAAAGGAAGAGCAGGTTTTCTGGGCAGCCGTGGGTAGCTGGTGAACGAATGAAAAACCATGGAGGACCACTCATGGAATGCTCTTGTTTATTTATTTATTTATTTATTTATTTATTTATTTAGGTACCCTAAGGGCCCAAATGGGCATTACATAGGGGGGGAATGGGTTGAAAGCCGACACAACGTACAATATTGTAAAAAGAAAGAATCAACACAACAAAAGTGACATTACAATATCATAAAGGCAGCAAAAGTACACAATTGCAAAGTACAGCGTGAAACATATAAAAAAAGTGTAAAAGTGGCAGAAAATCTGGTATTTGGAAGGCAGGAACACAAATTTACAGCCTAGAAAAGATGAGCATGATAAAGACAAGTTACAGGGTATTTTGAATAGCTAGAAAAGCGAGGAGTGCGGTTTGAAAAGAAGAGGTGTCTGTTTGGTCCACTAGGCTACTAGGTAAAGAATTCCATTCATTGATTGCCAGAACAAGGGGTCAGTTCTGATATTTGTTTGTTCGGGCAAAAATTGGGCCAACTTTGTGAGCGTGGTCAGCGCGTGTATAGGGTGCCGGGAGTATAAATTTGCGAGCGAATGGTGTTGGATGATGGTACAGGGTGTGAAAAAAAGTTAATCTTGACAACTGCCTGCGTTGGGTGAGAGGGGGGAGATTAAGTTCGTCCTTCAAGGCAGATACACTCTGGTATCTTGAGTACGATGACAGAATGAAGCGCGCGGCCTTGTTCTGTACGGATTCAAACATGTTAGTCAGACACATCTGATGTGGATGCCAGATGATTTGCGCGTATAGATGCCAGATGATTTGTGCGTATTCTAGTGAAGAGCGGATAAGAGCATTATACGCGTGAAGTCGTGTCTCTGAATTAGCTAAATAAAGGTGACGCTTGAGCAGGCCGAGCTTTTTACACGCCTTTGATGTGATTTTTTCTATATGGGGGGTCCAGCTTAAATCGGAGGTGAATGTAACTCCCAGATATTTGAAAGATGAAACTGTTTCTATTTTGGCATTATCTATTAAGTAATTATAAGTTTCGGATCTTGTTGTAGAAGAAAATTGCACATGCTTAGTTTTTTCTACGTTTATTTTCATCAGCCATTTTTCGCACCATTGAGTTAGAGTAAATAAATCATGCTGGAGTGTAGAAACGTCATCAGAAGTTACTATTTCTCTATATATCACACAGTCGTCGGCAAAGAGACGAATTGACGAGGAAATGTTACATGCGAGGTCGTTTATATAAATCAGAAACAGTAAAGGGCCAAGTACTGACCCCTGGGGGACTCCTGATGAGACACCCACTGGGTCAGAAACGTGGTCATTTAATTTTACAGATTGCAAATGGTCTGTTAAAAAACTACGAATCCAGTGGGTTGTTTTGTCATCCAGATTAAGGTTACAAATTTTAGCCATTAGACGCTGATGTGGAACCCGATCGAACGCCTTCGACAAATCGACAAAAATGGCATCGGTACAAAGCAACCTGTGCTGCGAAACAAGGAGGTCAGTGACCAGCTCAAAAAGTTGTGTCTGACATGAGAAATGTTTCCTAAATCCGTGTTGATTGCTAATGAAGAAGTTATTCTGATTAAGGTGGGTTACAACATGCGTGAAAAGAATATGTTCCAGCAACTTGCAGCTGATTGAAGTAAGTGAAATAGGCCTATAGTTAAGGGGATCAGACCGGTCGCCAGATTTGAAAAATGGTAGGGTATGGGCAAATTTCCAATCGTCCGGCAAGCAACCTGAATCTAGGGATTGCTGAAATAACAACGAAAGCAGGTAAGCTGAGTAAGGAGAAGTTATTTTTAAGAGCTTCGCTGTTATACCGTCAGGCCCGGGGCTAGTCTTGGAAGCTAGGTGGTCGATAGCGCATGCCACACCATGGGCTGTAATTATAATGGGCGTAAAACTGGAATCTATGTTTGGTTGCGACGGATCAAAAGAGTCATTTAAAGGTAGCTCGGTAGTGAAAACTTTGGCAAAGGCTTTGTTAAAATGTTCGGCACATTCTTGCAAGGATAACTTATCCCCGGTTGCATTGGTTAGGGTGGGTACCGTGTTTTTGTTCTTGGGGTTTATAATACTCCAGAATTTGCTTGGGTCGGTTTTCATAATACTTGGGAGCGTAATATTTAGTGGTGGCGAAGGTCACGAAATTTTTATACTTTATACAGTGAAGCCTGACACAGGCACTGGCATGTTTACAATCAACGGTGTATTTAGCATACATTCACCTTATGCTTGATGCTTTTTCTGTATCAGATCCCTTGTCATATGTCTTTAAAGGGCCCCTAAACCCCCTCCGATATTTTCCCAAACATTTAAAGTAAACAAGCGCATCATGTGCAGAATGCCATCGCGATCAACGATGCCACAGCGCTACAGGTAGCGGGCGCATTACAATTTCAAAAAAAAAACAATAGCTTCTCCTTTCCGGTTCTCGCCACTGACATGTATGACTAGATGACGTCACCACTTTCGATGCTTGCGAATGGCTGAACGACAACCGACGACTTCCGGTCACTCTGCAAACAGCTTTTCGCACGCACCTTGCTGTTCTTGGTCGTGTTGCCACTTGCAAATCGACATCTGCAGCCTGAACGCAACCGCCAAGTCGCTAGCTTAGCGGCACGAGCCGGCACGACAGCAACAGCGGTTAGTCAACGATCAATGCACCCAGGTGACACACAAAACACAGTTGAAGGCGAGCTGGGGCAACAGAGTGGCGGATCGCGGCAACCGAAAGTAGACGCTGTCTCAAACTGTCCGTCAGTGGTGACGTATGCCATGCAAGATGAGGAGGGGCATTCAGCTGACTCGGCGAGGAGGGGCCAAGTGGTTTCGGAAGAGGGTAGCATTAAAAGGGGAAAGAAGTGATTGTCACGTTTCAATCATCTAACGCGTGTTAACTGTGCTATTACGGCACCGTTTGGAAAAATTCTCACGGCTACGTGTTCGTTGTAAACTCAGCCACAACTTCCCCACCTCAACTAAATTTCGACTGCTGAGTGGTTTAGGGGCCCTTTAAGTGACAAACATGAAATAATACAGAACAGCGCTTTAAATTTTGGCCTAAGCCATTACTCAAAAATTACAGCTGTAACAATATAAAAAATTAACTAGGATGGGAATTACCATCATCACGTCGAATTAAACTGTGGTTAAAGCTCCTATATCGAGGATTTCATGCTAAACTCACATTCGAAAATGAATGTACCTAAATAGTCCTCTTCACGGAATGGTAATTAAGATTTTAGAATGGTGTATCAGAAGAATTTTTCTAATAAATCGTTTTTTTGTTAGTTTCATGACAGAATGAAATGGCTTTTAAAGAGAACAAAGTGTGTTGTGTCAAGGAAAGCGGGTTTTCTTTGACATTGTAATCCATGTGCTGCAGCGCTTTCAGGTAAAAATGTGATGTGCATGCGACTTTTGTTTTGTTTGTAATTTACTTTTTAAGCATCTCTCTCTAGGTGACATGATAAGTTTTAGTTAGACACTAGAAGTTCTTGCGTGCCCAATGAAAAAGGTTCTACCATGGTGGTTTTTCGAATTGGTCCGCTACGAGCCACCAAAGCATGATGCGAAAAAGCAAGCTTAAAGCCCTTGCCTCTCATCTCTTGTAGCCATCGTGAGCCTTATTCCTTTCCTGTTTTCTTCGGTGTCGGAGATAGAGACACATGACGCATACGCACCAAGAACATGTGTAAGCAAGGTCACGCGCGCATGACGTGCTCCAGCCTACTTGTGCACGTACGCCATCGATGTCGTGTCGTTTCGGCAATCTGTTGTGTATTTGCAGTTTCTGGGGTATGGATCAGTCGGTGCGTGTACTTTAGAAGAGGCTGGCAAGGATCATGTATTGTGACCGCAATACACCACGTCGCTCCACTGAAACTGCGGTCAGAGACGACGCACCAAACACAAGCTAAGCGTTGAGAAGGATGGTGACGGCACGATGAAGGAACGACGAGAAGACGAACGCAAGCGAAATGGGTAGTAGTAATAGTAGTAGTAGTAGCAGTGGTCCCCGCAGGGGCGTCTGCTTACACAGGCGTTTAGTGTGTAGTGGTACCATAGACCTGAGCTAATGGGGGGGTTTAGACTCACTCCCACGCCTAGCCGTGCGTGGCTGAGCTGTGTCTGGGGAAAAGGGGATCCTGGGGGTTGAGCCGATGCCGGGTGATTGGACCTTTAAGGCCCCCTGGA